AGAACTCCGTATATAAGTTATTACGCGATGATGAAATTAAACAATTGAGTTAGTTTTTGAAATCTGTTCAGATAACTTTTGTTATAGATATAACATAAATTTTCTACAGAATTAGATTCTGTGGAAAAAACACAAGGCAATAAAGATCGATACTCCTTATGTACAATAGATCAAACTGTGCATGTCTTGAAATTTTGATATTTTTTATAGCAAAAAGTATAATTAGTTATACATTATAAATCAAGATAGTAAGTTGAAATGTATTTATTGTGAACTCAAAACTTCTGTTTTATAAAATTTAAAAAATGATGAAAAGATTATTGTGTGCATGTTGTGATATATTTAGTTATTTTCTTGAAACAAAATCACTCATAAACATCTGTTATATAAAGCAAGATGCATGACTTTAACTGTTATAGATATTTTTAATTTTAAAGTCTCATTAATTTATTATTATATATTATAATATGAATTTAAATACATAATATGCATATCAAGAATTTTTTTATATTTTATAAAAAATTTTAATCTTTATTGCATGTAATGAGCAGTTTTCATCACATTTTTGATAAAATTTGCATGGTGAAATAAGTGCATACAACGTATTTTTCAAAACATTTTTTAAGAACATATTTTTTATGTTTCTAATGAACAATTGTGCTCGCTTGTGATTACTTTATTTTTGAACTTTGAAAGTCCTTTTAGCCAAACAAATATCAATTCAATTCGATGCTATGAGTACTTAGTCCTATGTCTTGGAAGTACATCGAAGATTTTATTCTGTAATGTTCATTGATGACCCTTTGTATTGAATTATTTCTTTAAATCTATTGTCATTAAGTTTGATATAAATAAATTTGATCGCCATAAAAATATCCAAAATCATGGTAGCATAAACAAAATGATTTATTATTAAACTATGTGTTTTATGAGAATTATTTTTAATTTTCTATTATTTTTTAATATGATAATTTAATTTCATATATTTTTCTGCATTCATTTAGTTGATATTTTTTATTTCACAAATTTGTGACTGATAATAATGTGGAAGAGATGTTTCAGAATTCTTGAAAAATATTTCAATAACCAATATTTGTTCATTAATATTACTGTTATTGAGTAAATGATATAATAAATTTGAAAAATATGACCTTCATATTTGTAAATTTCTAAATATTTGTCCAAAACGGAGAGTTTTTTTGTAATTAAGAAGCTAATGATAATTTACAAATATAAAAAAGAGCCTTCAAAAATCGGTATATGATTTTTATTGAGCATTAGAAATCAAGTTCAATTTATGAAAATAATTTGTATCGCACATTTTTACCATACAAATCTTATGTGATAATTTTTGTAACGCCTTCATAAGTTTTTCTAATATTTTATGTCTGAAAAATAACTATAAGTGTATTTTATTTAGAAAATTGTTATGATTTCAAATAAAATTTTTGCTATATTTATCAAATTTTTTTGTGAAAGAGAATGTGAGATTAATGCATATGAAGAATGAGTATTTACTAAAAATATAAATAAACGCATAAGTAAAATGTCTAAGTAAAGGGTTTAGGTATGGATACTTAAATTGTCCATCTACCAGTATATATGATGTTACTTGAATAGAAGATAAAGTTAGAAATATGAACTTTTAAAAATACAAAGTATTTGAAATGATATGTGTAATTAAATTATTGTACATTATCCAATATCATAACTCAATTACTGAGTACAATATAAAAGTGTATACATCGTTCAAAATATAAATCATACTACAATACAATACATAACTTGATATCTAATGATATTATATTTTTTTTCTATGATATTAATTTCAAAAAATATTGATATATATATATAGCTTGAAATCAGTTGATTACTGTCATTGCGGTTGTATCAATTGGTCCAATTATTTGAAGGACTCCAATATTGTTGTCACAAAGTTCAAATCGAAATTTGCTTCTAGATTTGAAGATTCACTTCTGGATTTCACATCTGAACAGCGTGGTTGGACTTGACTGACGTAAATTTAGAAAGCATGACTTTACAATATCGGGCAGTAGGTTTGAAGATAATCGATCCAGTGGTCAGTCATGTGATGCCACATCAACTGAATATCTACACCAAACAACGAAATGCGATTGAAATTTGGGTAATATTGACTCTCTTTTATCCAACTCTCTTTTCTATTGGATTGTCCGCGAAAGTTAAAAACAGATTTTTTGATGTTCTCCACTTGTGACATCGAACTGATATGGGTAGATGAAGTGAAATGCAACTTGTATCAAATGTATCAAGTGCAAAGGGAGAAGTTGAAACTCCACTAGAATGTTTCATCTTTAGATAGTCCATTACCAGGCCTCTCTATATAGAGCGGATGCCTTATGTTCCGTGTCTCCACAAAATAAGGGTAATTTTCAAAATTACGGAATATACGAAACTTGACAGTTTTTGGCCGAAGTTTGACCTACACTTTCATGTTTTCGGCCGAATTTTTCGGCAATGTAATACAACTTCGAGAGGAATAGGTGTTATCTTTGATCTCTGAATATCCTTTTCCCATTTTAGCACGGAGAAATCACTCTCCACACCGTTGAAATGTTTGAAAATGGTGAAACTAATATTACGAAAAACTCCATGAGTTGAAGAAATCTATTCTTAAAACCTGGAATCAGACTTTTCAATCAACAGATTTTTGTGCACCTAGAACATCGACTTCGTAATGTTCTGGGTTCATTATTTTATCTATGTATTTTTGTTTCCGATAAAGTTTGAGATTATCTTGATATTTTAGAACTAGTTGAATAATTTTTTGTGTTTTCAAAAGTGAATGAGATAACCAACGAAACAAAATACTAGAACTTGGTTGAACTCATCAGGTGTCGCCGCAAAGTTTTAGTCAAGTACTCAATTAATTTCTCTAGTAAAGTAACGGTAATCAACAAAGAAATTGTCAGAAACGATCACGACAAAGATTTAGCTAAATATTTACATAAATTTCTCTAGTATAATCACCTACATCAACAAAGATTTGTCAAAAATTGTCACCCCAAAGTTTTAGTTAAATGACTCTGTTACTTTCTCTATTAAAGACACATAGACAACAAAGATTATTTTGTTGGAAATACGGCACTTTCCCTATGTGCCGTATTTAGAGAGGCCTATCCATTACTGATAATGAGTACGATGCATTCATGTACTAAACTCGTGGGCTATGTAGCATGTTTACAGCCTCTACTTTACGGGGGTCATATCTGCATTCAACCCACAAGGCTCATTGCCTCGCAATGTACAGAGTGTTAACGACTGCGGACTCGAAGTACTCATGGAATGCACTAGTAGCGGAGATAACTCTTGAGTCACCACAACGGACTCCATTGTGTCTCCACTGTGGTTTGTACCGAACCCTGTGCTTCATACACTTAGTTATCTATGAAGCATTATGATTGGGTTCAATTATGAATAATATACGAAATAAGAACTTGATTTATAAAGTAGAGAATTTTACAACTAGTAATATTAAAACAGCATCCAAAAAAAGCAAGAGAGCAACATTACATATGGTGGGAGTGTACACGAAATACATACTGAGGCAGTATAGCATCCCAAGATATCCTGGTGGATTGAAGATACCCCACCTTCCAAAAGTGATCACCAATACATGGCCATAGATTTCGTGCCCTTCGAACTCAGTGGCGTGTCACATCAACCAAGGATTCAATAAGGCAGCTGCAGATCGATTCACCTCCCCCAAGTTATGTATTCGAAACTTTTGTGCCCAAGACTAGCTTGACTTGTCTGAACGTTCAGCCATGAGCTTCAGACTCGCAGTTTCTAAAGATCATCGCACCCATGTACCGTCTGTAGAGCATCAATATTTACCGTGCAATCGACTGGATGCGATCGACCGGAAAAATTGAAGTACATCGTTGTTCGAGGTGATGTTTCAAGCACTTTTGAATGGGTCGAAGTCTTGTACACTGTTAGATTCTGTAACTATCCCCCACTTTTCGTTTTACTCGACCCGTGCCACACACCGGATGCTTCAAGTGACTTTGTTTCCTCGAAAATGCACCTATGATCGATCTAGACCTTGGAACTACTCACATACGACTTCCTTCGGATACTTCAAATGACTTTGTTTCTTCAAAACTCCACCCATGGTCGATCTAGACCTTGGAACTAATCACATACGTCTTCTTTCGGATACTTCAAATGACTTTGTTTTTCCTCGGAACTTAACCCATAGTCGATCTAGACCTTGGAATTAGCCACATACGACTTCCTTCGTATGCTTCGAATGACTTTATTATAGCGTTCGGGTTCGACCGTCGGGTCCACTTACGCCACATTCGACGACGTTGGTGTGAGAGTAATATGTAGGACCGACACAATTGGAGCGAGTTCTGGGCTAGCCTTCGCTTCTCGAGAAGCACTTTCCTGCGCTTTTAGACTCTTCAGCCACGCTCACACTAAAAATTGCAGATGGACGATAGTTGTAATCCACGGGAATGCGTAGAGACTGACTCGATCACCGGACAGCGCAACTGACAAGGACATGACCGCCCCGAAGTGCCTCGCCCCGGAGGCCACTTGGGGCCACACCTGCGACCGGCTGATGTTAAGTCATTTCTTGACCAAGGTTTACTAAAACACTTGCGGTACTCTACGATGAGTACGTGTTAAGCACTAAGCAAACCAGCTGAAACGAGTCGCCAGACCGTAAACTCCAAATTGGGATTACCTCCACGACCCTCCATTCGCTGGGAACCATTCACGATGTACAAATCTGACATGATAAAACTGCCGATGCGATCGCCTGAATGACACAAACATCAATATATCCATCGACAAGCTGTGGCTCAAATGTACGTGATGGCCGGCTTCTCAGGACAAAGAAATGTAGATGAAATTCTACCACACGACAACGAAATTCTCGTCAATCAATCACTGTGATGAAAGATCAACTGGATACCGTGCGTGTGACGTTCAGCTCCAATATATACTGTAGAAAAAGTAGTAGTATTATAGTGATGATTTGAGGTCTCCACGTTAAAACAGATAAAGTAGATCCGCTTACATATTCTTGGCTGCCAGCGGAATTGTAGCGAAAAAGCAACCACGTAATTCAGCTGTCGTCCATAGCAGAGGCCATGCTTCTGATTCTGGATGAAAAATAATTTATATGGGCTGTCCCTAAGCAGATTCATCATTCATTCGATTTACTTTGAAAGCACTGTGATATCGACCGCAACAGGAAGCAACAGCGAACTGTACGAACGGACAAGTCACAACAACGTCTAATAGTGTTCACGAGAAGTCATGCATGCAGTACCATGAGCTATTTGTTTTATTCAACACAGCGAATGCACGTTCAGGACAGATAAAGGTATACTCATTCCTACAGATGTAAGTGAATGTAGATAAACGTAGGTTTGGACCTGAGCTTCTCCACATGAGCTACAAAAAATTGAGGAAGATCAAATAGACACCTTGAGAGTGTATTCTTGTAAATGTCGCGTCCTCCAATGATATTTCCGGCTGCCAACATGTGCACCTTGCTGCTGTAATTCTCCAGAATGTCAGATCTTGTCCCTCAGCCACTTAAGAGCCCCAGCAGCAGCCGATCTATATCCCGTTGGATCCCATCCAGCACAGATAAATAAAACTTTCAGAAAATTGTCAAAGGAATGGCGAGGACCCACAGATGCATCACCCATAAGCTGTTTCCGTTAACCACTTCATTTGGAATCATGATCCAAGATACATACCATTCGAAGGTTGTCTTGGTGATATAAAAGGTATCTACTGTCAAAAAATATTTACAGGTTATCAACTCTCGACGTTCAAAACACCACAATTTTAAATTGCAGCCAACGTGGACTTATACTCCAATATGTAACGTGACATGGTGCCAACTCGTTACTTGGAGCGGAACGATGTCCATTTGACGATTAACCATGTCAAAAATCTGGTAAGCAGGGGATAGACGATGTAGAAAACGGCTAGGGTCGTGGCTAGTGCTACGACCAGCTGAACTCTAAGGGACGACTTCGTAAGAAAGCCATCGACATTAAGATGGGGCCACTGAAGCACCGATGATTGTAAACTGGTGCTACCGAACTTTGCACCTGACGAACCTGTGCGCCTGTGAACAAGCCACATAATCCATCCCCCCGGCAGCCTGGATCAATGTTGGGACACAGTTCCTCCCAAGGTCAAATCGAGAAAGGATCCTATTCATGCTATGCCACATTCAGCTCGTATATAAGTGTTAGAAGGATACAAAGTCAATCAAGTTTCGTTAGTTACACAAAATTTAGCTAAAGCTCCTCTCTTATCGCAGAATGGAGCTCAAAAGAACCACTCTTTTGTCAGCACTTTTGTCAAAGCCTATGTTTTGTAACTCCAAGCATCCACTGATGTCTGCCTAGTTATAGTTAGAACATTTGAAGCAGTAAGTGAGCCTTCATATTAGTCCGAATCACATAGTTAGTTACTACAATAACAGCAAACTCGGTAAACTACCGTGCACAGACATTACAGAAAACCCCCTGCAAATCACCATCCAATAAGGAGAGAGTGGGCACAGGGATCCACTCCATAAATCAGAACTGCTCGTTATAACTGAGATGCAAGAACATGTTATGATTATCCCGGAGTTCCTCAAGATAGGCAATCAAGAAAAGCCCCACAACTTCCACCGAGGTCCATGCCCCACATCCACATGGAATCCACAGGATTTTTGAAAGACGCTGAGCCTAAAAATCACGAGCACAAGAAACCCGATCCGCATTTTCTAGGAGTTTCAGAAACCACTTCGAAACTAGCAAGTAAAGTTTAAGTTTCATACAAAGAAGCTGACCAACCACAAAATATACATTCTTAAAGCTTACTTAAACATACTGTCTCAATGAATACCATGTATCAAATATAATCACATAGTCGTCACGCAGTGACGAGTTGGCATTCAAAACATTCCAGAAGAGGAAAACAGGTTTGCGGTTGGGCCCTTACCCAGCAAGGGATTTGAGTGCACCCCAAAGTCCTTCATCTTCTGCTTTTTCAATCCCGGTGCTCTCAGCTTGTGATTCATTGTCCGATGATTTTGACGACCTATTCGCCTCTTGAGTACCTGCAAGACGACCACTTCTATGAAAAAGACAACCATGAAAATCTGGTGAAAAGGCATTGGGATGACGACGAAGTAATCAACATATAACAAGACACCACAATCATTAGGCCTGCTTGATTGTGGTGATTAGGCTCGCTCACATGAAGTACAGACAAACAATGTCTCCTTCCCCATGCAATACTCAGTTATGAAGGTGCTGCACCCATCGCCGGTGAACTTAATAATGGTGATCAATCATATGAGATTCGCCTTTATTGCATACATGAAATGGTCGAAAAAATGAGTCAAAAATTGTAGCAATGTGCTAACTCTTTGTTCCATGGCTAGTTAAGAGCTTGCTCAGCTCTCTTGGGAACACTTGCCAGAAACATAAACTGCTCTTTCCGCGAGAATCATCCAACTTGTGGACTTTCAGAAACTCCACTAATTTTTTTCTTGCGGCTTTTCTTCTCTTTACTTCCTTTCTTCTCACTCTTTTCACTCTTCACTTTCGTCTCGTTCTTACGCTGAGGCCTGCTGCTGCTGTTGTTGCTAGGGACTCGCGCTTTTGTAGATCCTCCACGAGTCCCTGATTTGGATGTCTTTTGAAGAAGGCTCAGCTCCTCAACTAATTCCCGCTCTGCCTCACTGCAACCAAATGGATACAGGACAAAGGTTGTCAAATAGGACTCATCGGTTACAGAGTCAAAATAAAGAACAGCTTACAACGATAATATCTTTCCTCTTTACATGACTTGTACACTAACGCAATTTTCCGCTGGCCCATGTCCTTAAAATCTATCCAATGAGGTCGTAATGGATTCAAATTTTCCTCAAACACAAGAATATGAAGACTGAGCTAAGACTACTTGCCACATTGACTGGTCGGTAGTTCTTACCTTATTCTAGTTGGGATGGTCACTTTAACTGTGAAAAAATGGTCCCCTCTAGCAGAGGGTTTGTTCAATTTAGGAACACCCATTTTGCCTAGTACAAGGACATCACCGGGTTGGGTCCCAGCTGGTATTTGCAGTTCTGTTGCTCCATCAACAGTCTTTACCTGGAAAATGGACAGCTCAAAGTGAATACGCGTAGCAATCCAACGTTGGTAGAAGTCTGAAGTACTTTTCTCTCATTTTAAGGCTATATATATAATACAACCCATGCCGTAGAGACCACTGCCTCCGGCCCATGAGAATGTCGTAACGAACCACTGATCACCACAAAAGAGTTGTGGAGCCGAAAGTGTCACGTATATTCTTACATGCTTCAGCCTAATTATCCAACTCATTCAGATGTACGAGCTTCAGACCTAACAACACTCAGACATTTCGAAACATTATCATGTACAACACAGGACGAAGTGGGACGAACCTGAGTTTGGGTACCAAGAATTGCTTCAATATAATTTATCGTCACATTGGAGTAAAGATTCACGCCATCTCTTTGGATGCCAGTGACCTCTTTCACGTTTAAAAAGACGTAAAGATCGCCAGGAGGGCCACTGCAGAAACGACCAGTTTCAGACTACTTCAAAACTACTAGCCACAGTTTCCAGACTTTTATTCATCCATCGCTTAAAAACTACCAGGTACAGTTTGTTACGAAAGCAGGAAAAGGATTTCTCCGAACAAGGTAAAATGAAAGTGGTCAACAAGGTCTCATCAATAATCTTATCATAAGAGGAAAGTGAATAGGTAATAATTTATGATAATTCTTGATGAAACATTCCTTAGGGATTTGCCCAGAGATGAAAGCTACTGGAACTAAATACGACAAGACAATGACACGAAATATGAAAAGTCTTGTCTGGATCAGATGAGAAGTTAAAAGCTACGTACCCCCTAGGACCCGCATCACCTTCGCCTCTGACTCGAAGCGTACTCCCACTGTTTACACCAGCAGGAATCTTTACTTTCATCATTTTTTTAAGGCGAATACGTCCTTCTCCTCCACATTTTCTACAATAGTCGGAAATAACTTCACCCTCACCACCACAAGTGCTGCAGGAAGATACCTGCAACAAGGTCAATCAAAAGATTGTTAGAAGAATAATTTATTGCATGCCAACGACGTGAATCTTATAACCTAACATAGTCCAAGATCAAAGCGAGCCAGGATTTGCATCTCAGTCCGCTGTCACCCGGTATACTGCAGTCCAAGAACTTCCATACACAGGATTTTCTGGAAAGATGAGTAGAAACGACACACGCGATGGTACAAAACGAGAAAGAGTTTTAATAGATGTTTGGCAAATACACAATTTTATCAACCTATTCCACCACACGGCTAAATATTATAACTCCAGTTTGCGACACCTCTTCGCCAGTGGAAGAGCAAACATGATACAGGAGATGAAACGCCAGTATGTGCATAAACAGATAAAAGCAAACAATAACCACGTAGCAGAACTAGCGAACAGCCGGACATGTTAATAAACCTGTGAAAACGTGCCGAACGGGGTCTCCTGTGTCCGCATTACTTGACCCATTCCCCCACAAGTTGGGCAGGTCTTTCGACTTGTACCGGCTTTAGCTCCACTACCATCACAAGCTCCACATGTTTCCAAGTGTACAGCCTCAAACTCTTTCTCTGTTCCAAAAATAGCCTCGGTGAACTCCAAGGTCATATCGTACCTGTGGCACATGACCGATTCAGGTTCATCTCAGAGCTTGTAGGTGGACAAATAAATAACTGAATGAAATATGACATAACATAACTTGAAAAACTAGAGCCTGATGCATTAATCCCTTGTGATCTTCTCTGATATCGTGCGAGAGATCAATTTTCTCACCGAATGTCATCTCCTTGTACAGTTTGGGGGCGTCCTTTCCTGGTTCCAAAACCGGTGCCCCCCATCCCCCCCATGCCTCCCATTCCTCCCATGCCACCCATTCCTCCCATACTTCCTCCAAAGAACGACTCAAACAGATCAAATGGGTTTGTCTGCAATTCAACATAAAAATACTTTAAATCTCCAAAGAACAGCTCTCATCCACCTGACTAATGAGGTTCAACTTCTATCCTTGTTGCAAATTCAACACTTTCAAGTTCATTTTTCAAATTAACACAGTAAACGAAACAGTCACTTCCTCCCACTAAGCGTTCAAACTGGTTGAACTTACGGCATAAGCTCCGGCTCCGGCGCCACCCGGTCCACCCTTGATTCCAGCTTCTCCAAATTGGTCATACAAAGGTCTCTTTTCATCGTCTGAGAGAACCTAACACAGGATTCGAAGATGTACCCAGACCGTGGTTAGGAGAAAAGTTTGCATCGTTACAATGACCAGATGCAAGTGGAAATCTCCACAATTTCGATGGGACAAACCAGATTACTCCATGGCTTTCGTGGACTTTTTGATAGCATAAGCCAGCTACATGGATATCCAAAGACCGTGCAACTATTCGTTGACCTTAGCATCAACAAGGTCTATGACGTCAGTCAGTAAACGAGCACGATATAACGAAGTGTCATCACTCGAAAATCAATCATAGATACAAAAAACAGCAAGAAACATCGGCGTCATTCCTTCCGCTGTAAATCATTCCGCCAAATTATAGCTACCTCGTAGGCATTGCTGATCTCTTTGAATTTATCCTCCGCTCCTGGTTGCTTGTTGACATCTGGGTGATACTATTTTCATGTCACACAAGATGTTTCTAGTCAGTACTCCAGCACGCAATACTTTTGAAAAGGAACAAAATGTAGGGACAGAAGCGTCTGTTTCGATCATCTCTCACTCGTTCCCTACCGCACTTATTCAAAAGTAGATTTCAGAGAGTGGGAAAGGCGCATAACATAAACCAAACTATACTCTAAAAACCTGTGCGCGGAAGATATGTGGATAGTAAGGGCACACAGACTACACTCAAAACTCTGATCGGTTATTACCAAAAAAATTCGGCACTCGTGACACTTACAAAACATGATGAACTCTGATTTGGAACTACGTGAAGTATTTACAACTCTGCTCTTACACTTTTCGACTGAAGGTCACTATTTGACTTGCCAACCGTCTGAAAATTCCATGAAGGTTGGGAACAGTTGAATAATTATCGTATCGTACATAATATGACATACTTTCAATCTTCAGCATGATCTTCGCCTATCTTCATATATAAACTCACAGTTGAGAAAAAAATTATTTCCGGATTTTTGTGCATATGTATTTCTATCCCAGATATTTATTCCTTACTCACCCGGTTATTTTTTGTTCGGGTTAAATCCCACCCTTACACCCACAACTTGAGCTGAGCCCACAGTTATGTGAGGCAAGACAACTAACTCACAAATGCCCAGACTACACACTTATTTCACACACGAGCTAAGCAGTCTTCGACTGCTGTAGGAAATATGAAGTACCTGGCGAGCTAGCTTACGATAAGCACTTTTGATCTCTTGCTTGGTGGCAGATTTGGAAACTCCAAGGGTGCTGTAGTAATCGGCGGCCATGGCTATACACTGCCGCAATCTCTTTTTGCTCGCACAATATTTCGCCGAACCTTGGAATTGTATATAAAAAATCCCGGAACCAGAAAAAAACTCCCCTTTTGAACCAAACAGATCTTCTGCACCCCTCCACTTCAACGACCTTGGAATTCTTCCATAAAAATTGCCTACATTTAGTTTACTTTCAGTGTTCTTCTGAACTCTACAGACCGTCAACGCATGTCTTCCTCGGCCATGCTGAGAATTACGTTCCACTTGCTTCCTCGTTGAACAACCGACTGGATGACTGAAATGCCGAGACGAAACGGATACAACTCCGGAAGCACAAGAAGACCTGGCAGACGAGCTAAGCTGCACATTTCCACAATTCCTTGACGAACTGGATGTTAAGCAACCGCTACTCCCGGGCAATGAGAACGCAAAGTGCGCCGTAGGGGTCGCCATTGCCATTTCTTGAGCAAAACCCCAAACCTCTGCGCAAAATCGACTTCACTGAGAATTCTCGCACTACATTACTCTCATTCTCCTCCAGTTCTCCATTCCGTTCAAAAGCACCTCCTCTCAGTAATGTGCAACCGAGCAACCAATTCTGCCGACCCTCGTAAAAAATTCCTGCGCGCGATGGTACGAAAAAGACCCAGCGGCAGCACGACCTCCTCGTCCGGGGAAGAGAATCGAAATTCAGCAGCAGCTGATTCTCGATTCCAACCTCGCTTATCCGTGTCCAATCCGCGAGACGGAAATGCAGAACAGAGCAACCCTAACTAGACGAGCAGACTGTCCGCCTCGGCAACGGAGAATCCACGAGACAGGTGGTCGGAGCTCCGGTGCAGCTCCAACCAAATCTTCGATGCTGGAGAGGGCGGCGTCGTCGTCCTCGTACACCGGCACGCATGACGAGTCGTTCAGACAAACACACGCATGCTCGTGCTGCAGGTGTGGCTGTGGCACACACTACGACGACGAAGCGGAGCAGCAGCAGCAGAAGAGCCTGAGGAATGGAGTGGATTGGCCGCGCCCATCATCCCGTCCCTCGCCGCCTCCCTCCTCCGCCATCCATCGCCAAATCCTTTATCGAATGATTCAGTTTTTTTAGTGGCACCTTCGAGCTCCTTGGACCTTTCGCTTTTCGTTTCTTTTCTTTACATTCGCCTCTCCCCGCGGCCCCCGTCCTCCAATGAGCGCCTTTCTTCCGTCGTATTTTACCTCGCGCTCTGCCCGTCGTTTTGTGCAGATTTGTCGAGAGCATTCACATCCCGGCACCTTATCCTCAACAGCTGGTCCGTCAGTCTGTCCGTCAGTAGGTCCGTTGTCGGAGGGCTCGACGACGTCGTAGCGAGAGGTAATTCTTCCACTCTGCCTCCGGTTTGAAGAATTGTATCCTCTGATGGGCTTTCGATTAAAGCGATGCTTGGTTATCAGCTTGATGCATTGTTTGTCATATTCACGGTACCTATTAATGTGATGGGATGATGTTTCACGTGACCTTGGTCCAATCATGCATCAACTGTGAGTGTGGTAATAATTTCAATAAGAGGCGACATGGATATGGAAAAAGCTTTGAGAATAATATATCACCATGAAACCAGGGTTCTACATCCGTAATTCCTTCATGATTTTATCGTGATGTGGTATACTATTTAGTGCTCATGATATTTTTACGTGCATGGATTTCGAATATGACTCTTTTCTCATTGGGAATTCAGACTTTAGCCATCTACGATCTCTTTTGGAAATATGTATACCTCTAGTTTTAGAATGACTTGCGGTTTACCAGTATTTAAGGCACATTTACACTTGTTTGAGGGTGCCATGTTCCCATATTAAATCAATGATACACGTGATTGAGTGTCCGAAGGCAGAGGCTGTCTACCAAAAATGTTATTCTTTGTGACTTTTTGTTACACAAATCGTTTCTATACTTGGTTTGTAAGTAAGTATATGTATATCAACCGCTCTAGATGATATTTTTCCATATGTTCATGTAATTTCTAGATAATTATACATACATAATTTATCTATATCTTGCATGCAATAATAAATATCTGTCATTTTTGGTATATTCCTATTTAACCAATTTGATCTCATCTTCATCTATGAAATTAAACTATCTTGGATTTTTTTGTGTTGAAAATTTTTGTTGTACACAATATATATATATATATACATATATGATATAGAATTTCACATGAAGCTGTTTAAAAAAACTGTAATAGTAGTCTAAATATGAAATTTATGCAATCATCACATTTGAAAACTACCAATCTTGATTATTAGAGTTCATGGTCTACAGTAAAAAATAAATTCTTTTGGGTGTTAGTGTAGAAGTAAACTTTGCAGAGCTTTAATCTTCATGAAAATCACAAGATGCCCAAAGCTTTTTCACTGTAGATGATGAAACTTGACTTTTGGTTTTTATGAACTGATTGATAGTTAGAACTTGAATTGTGCGTTGAAAAGATAAGATTATAAATTTACTCATGTTTTAAAATTTTATACTAGAGTCCTTTAAAAAATTTTTACTACTAAAATTATTGTTATTTGTGGTTATAATGAGATTTGTCATTGTAATGTAGCAAATTTTGATTGACTTATTAAGTATATAATCTATGGACATAAAACAAAGTAAATATATGAACTCTGTATATAATGACTTCATACACGATTTACATACAATATAATTTCGATGGAATTTTTTGGCATATTTCTTGTTAAAACGTGTGGTTTAATCGTCACTTGCGGAACCTTCACTGACAATCCGTCCCCTCTCCCACTTTGAAACTGCTCCAGTTCTCGATATGTGTGACCTATGGTTAAACTATGGACTGCACATTGTGCCGTAAGAGTTCTGGATTGCGGTCAATGTAATTTCACGTTTCCTGTTCTCCAGACACTGTTCGGGATAGGAAATAACCAACTAAATAAGTTGGTGTCTGAAAAGGGGACTTCAATGCGACAAAGCAAGCAAGCATGATTATGATGAATGACATGTCCATACACTGAAATTGAACGGCCGTTTGAGAAGACAGCTGAAGAGCTATGGTTAAATTGACAATTCCCTGATAATTTTTATTCTGAGTCATCCCCAAATGTGGAAAACGACTTCTGCTTTTTCTGAGGACGGTCAGATGTCTCCATGTCATCATCTAGTCTACTTTTTCTTGGTCTCGTATCAACGCCATTGTCCTCAAAAAATTGTTGTGATGTACGTGCCCTGAGTTCGTCCAGGCTCTCCCCATTCTTAGCCCGCTCCAAAACCTGCACATTTATTACCGGCAAAAATTTGTAAAACGTGAAGTTGGCATGGAACAATAGAGGTTTGTAAACATTGTCCTCCGCCACACAATATACGGTCAAGAAACTTACCATATGTCTTCCGTATAAATGAGTGTTCTTCAGTCCATCAAAAGCATTTTGTGCTTCTTGTCTAGTTACGAACTCTACAAAGGCAAATCCCCTGTGATTGCCATCGAACTTCTTCGGCAAACGGAGACTTTTAAGCTGAAGGAAACAAACGAGCACAACAAGGAGCAAGTTGTCAGATACACGACCAAGACGACTCATTCACAAATACATATTTCGTCAAGGACATTGAAATTTATGACAATTTATATCACGAGTTACATAATAGTGAAATTAACATCGTACGTGAACATGTTCTGTAAGTGCTTCAGAAAAAATACTTCTTGAAAGTGGGAACCAAACCTGGCCGAAGGGACTGAATAATTGCTGCAAGTCTTTTCTTGTAGCTTCGAAGGCAACATTTCTAACAATAATCTTGGTGAAGCTCTCATCCTTTGCCCCTTGCTTACTTCCCTTCTTTTCCGATGAATCTGTTTTTCCTCTATTTGTTGTATTACTTAATTGCAATATTAGTGCATGGCTGTCCAGCACGGTGCCCTGTAAAAGAGAACACGTTAGACGATAGGGAAGGGCGAAAAGCTCGAAACGATGTAACACGAAAATGTACACTATCTCATTTCATTAGCTTCTCGAGGAATCTCTAAGTATGAATCACAAACTCAGTGTAGAACGTGAGACGGCTAAAACTTCACTCAAGAGGACAAATGCAAGAACCTGGAAATTCTTGCAAACTTCAGTCGCAGTTTCCACACTGTCGAATTCGACAAATCCGAAACCCATAGAAAGCGCTTTCCCTCCTTTCTTATTCGGTTTGGTACAAATCTGTTGCATTAGATGCTGACGTTACTCCTCAAGACTTAAAAAACAACTGACAGCCAACTCCAACTACTCAAAACTACACATCTTTCAAAAAGCAAAAGTGAATAAAATGTGAAGCAACATGTCTGAACGATGATATTTTCATACATAGGAATTAGAAGAAAATGAGCGTTTCGTGTATTGTTACATGATCCACGATCTTCAAAAATCGAACAAAATGGATCAGTGTGTGAACTCAGAATCAACACGGCTGAGGAGCGTGAAGTGATTTCGTAACATTACGCACCTTCACACTGCGGAGAGCACCTTGCTTCAAAAGTTGCCGAAAATGTTTCGTCAGACTTTCTTGAGTCGTTGCAAAATTCAAATTTTTTACAAAAACAGATCCTCCCTGCATTATGAAAGAAGACAAAGAAGACAAAAAACGAAGGAATAAGATGATGGATTGTGGACCTTTCAAAGAAAAAAGTATTTCTCTATAGCATTTACTTATGTGAACTAGGCAAGGCCGGTGCGTTCAGAGGAAAAAAGACTAGTGTTGTTGCAGAAGAATTTGGACCTGTGCTGCGGAATTGTCTAATTCATCCTGAACCCCGATCAACTTTTGAGAGATTTCAACTCTCTTCACAAGGTCCTTTCCTACTGCCTTCTCTTGAACACTTCCTCTTTGGGGACCAACAGGCACATGCTCTTTCAGCAACTGCTCAGGTGCCCACTCTAGATACAAAGGCACATGCCTGCACAAACATATATGATGATCAAGAAATGTCCACACCAATCTTTTATAATTGTGACCAATTATAAAAGATCACAATCGAATTTCCTAAAGAAAAAACACACGACCATCTTTGTGGATGCGGAAGCTATCGTGCACAGAGAGGTCTAATTCTGATATACGCAAAGATCGGGCGTATCTGAGAATTTGTAGAAAAATGCGAATGTTTAAAAGCGGGCAGTCTGACACAAAACACACTCAAAATCGGAGAAGAGAAATTTATGGTGCCAAGTTATGTGTTCCTAGGTGTTCTGTCATGTATACCCTTTATACATGTTGCTCACCACATATCTCCAGTTATAGATGAGTGCAACAACATGCGAGCAACCAGTTTGGAGTAGTTATCAGCTAATCACTAGGAGAAAAGACTTTAGTGACTGACTATGACCCAGAGAACATATCGTCTACTCAAGTTTCGATTTTTGAACTTACTGGAAGCGTTTGTAAGCCAAACTTTTGAAAGCCCGCGACGCTTCTGCAGCCTCCAGATACTCTACCTGCTCCCAACACTATGGCGTAAGGATATACTTACAGGAATACGGACAATTTAAACAATCCCTCATCTTCACGATGTGAAAACTCCAAATATTCTGTACTGCCCAGCATTGCGAAAAAAGAGAAGCTAAAAAAAAAGTCACGTACCACCGCCAACGTCTTGGTAGGAGGTAGGATGACCCGACCTATGCTGCCGTGCGCAGAAAACATCCTTAGTAGATCGTCCTCTGTTGTTGTGAAGGGCAAATTTTTCACCAATATAACATGGTTGCTTCGCTTTACTTTCCCTTCTTGACCAGAGGCGACCTGTTCAAGAACTTCAACATTGACGCCCTCGTCGCTCAAAGCTCGTTTTGTTTCGGTGATGATGTGAGTTTCACCGAGTGCCATGCGTACAGCCAGATCCCCTGCTTCAGGATCTAGAAATTCACTCTTTGTCATCCCATACTTCTGTGCCACATTCTCAGCAACCTGAAGCAGAATCAAAGGTAACACTTATTAATATCACAAAATTAATTAAACTAATGACCTGGATTCCAAAGCTGTAGATCTAGATATTGGTAATGTAGGAGATTTCCACACTTTCCATGTCAAACGAACAACTCTTCTATCACTCTTCTAGACCCTTAAGCTGTCCCATGGGATCGTGAAAGCAATTGCTACCTATTTAGTAGTAGAATATTTGATAAAGGGAAAGTCCTGAATCCTAGAATGAAGCTCCCGATTACTTTCTGCAGGCAAAGAATGACATACTGTGTCTGGGCGCATAAATAGCATATTCCATGCTCGAGTATCGCCACCTGCTTCAGCGGCCTTCCGTTGGGCTTCTCTCTCCTGCTTGTACTTCGTTGAACCTGGACCACTTCCAATCCTGGAACACAAACATCACATACAAATTCATCTGTCATTTCCTGTTAAGAAAGACGCAGTGAGTACATCTTCACTGCAGGTGCTTGGTGAAGGTGATGTCACCCCGAGGTGATAATTGAATTTGGACCAATCTTAGTAGTTATCCAACAGGCACTCCTTGACACGACATCAATCCGCTTTCTAAATAAATGCAGAATACAAAATAAAACCGCTTAAGAAAGAAGGTGAGCGGTTATTACTGAACAATACGCAACTAACTACTAGTTTCAAAAATGCCATAGACAAAAGCTTACAGCTTTGGTTCCGGGGCCGGTGGGGGTCTCTTTGCTGGTATAAGATGAAGCAGACGTCCTTGAAATATGGACTTGTCCAGTGCCTCAAAAGCTCTGAACGCAAAATTACATGCAGCACAATCGTCGCTCAATAGGGTGACTACATAATGCATCCATGACAACGAGTTTACGATAATTGACATGTGCTTCAGACAAAGGGTTAAAAAACACGCTGTACCTTAATGTCACGGAAGATAAACATACAAGCTAAGAAGACAGTTCAAGCCTGGAAACAAGGTTGAACTTAAGAACTCGTCGGAACTAATTTGCGAGAATAACTGACAAAATGTACAGTTGTAGTAGAGCACGAAAGTCTCTAACAAGACAAACTGAAAGCAATTTAACTGACGGCTGAGTCAACAAGCTAATCGGCCCATCGTTGATAATTTTGCAAAATGAATGTGAAATCAAAATGTACATGTGTGACCCACCTCACGGCATCTTCTGGAAGCATGTAAAGAATGTACGCAAAACCTTTGGATCTCTTGGTAGCCTTATCCAGCACCAAGTGAACCTGGCTGAGTTGTCCGTACTTACTGAAAATCTGTGTAAGGTCTTCTTCACTGCAAATGTGAAAATGAACTAGTTAATATTGTAAACAACGGAGTGCCAACTGCCCGCAAGGTGAACATGGAGAATAGGTCCCCCATTAAAGATGAGTGTGTAACACAACGTTCAAACAAAAACTGCTCTTCGGCTAACACAACCAGGGGTTCTAGTAGAACAAAAATTGATCTGTATTGCCAGACTCGTTTTGAGTTAGAAAACTGTCAGATGATCTCAAGGCATTAGTGAAAAAGCTATCCACGAATAGGAATGGCGAGTAACTACAGCGCAACATGCACCTAGAACTCAAACGACAAGGAGGAGAGCAAAGAAAGAGTTGACAACAATCTGAGTACCAATGGACAACAGAGGTGTATATAATAAATGCACGAATCCCTATGCACCTGTACAAGGAATATGCCAGAACAAATTAAAACCAGACAGTGAAGAAATATACGAGGGGATTAATGTCACAAGATTTGAAACTGTCTTCACCTTGCTGTATAGGGTAGATTCCTCACAAACAAGCGCCCCGTTTCTGACACACTCTCTTGCTCCTCACCATCAACCTGAAGTGTATGTGCTGAACCATCGTCGACGTTGTCTCCTGAAACTACAACCCCTTCCACATTGGAACCCTCTACTGATTTTCCTTTTTCAGTCTCCTCTTCCTCATCGTCTTCTTCGTCTTCTTCTTCTTCTTCCTCCTCCTCCTCCTGCAACTCCTCTTCGTCCTTCAGCTCCGGCAAAGCTTGCGTAACTGGTTGGTCTTCCTCTTCTTCGGAATCACTCCAGTTTTCCTTTACTTTACTTTTGAGATAGTCCGTGTCTGAAACTTTTTCATTCTTAACAATGTCGTCTTTCTCGTCCTCTTCTACTTCCATCTTCTCTGATATTGGATCCACTGGGAGTGCAACATCTATCATTTGATCATCATCTTCTTCTGAACCGCTGTCATCTTCATCTTCAAAGCGGACGTGCACTTGTGTTAATTTAGTAGAAGTCTTCCCTTTATTTATGGGAACTCTGCGGGCAAAACCTTCGACTGTTCTAACCTCTACTGCAGGTTTCTTATTGGATTTTCCACCTCCTGGCCCTGACTTCAGGCTTTTATCATCTCCTTCTGCGTCATTTGCCCAAATTTTGGTTTTCGATCGTGGTTGCATCACCTGCAAAAACTCCTGCAGCTGCACATCATTCTCCTCTTCCTGGATGCCAGTCTTGGGGGTCTGAGTCTTCTTAGCACGAGGAGCAACGTCTTTTACTTCGAAAGACTCGACGTCTTTCTTTCGATGAGAATTGTCAAACGCAGAACTACCTTCTGAATGTCTACTCCATGGCCGGGGTAGATTGGATGCACCGACCGCTTGAGCAAGCTGCAACGAAAAAAAGAAGTTCCTAAGATCAGATAAGAACAGAGGGAAGAAGAAACAACGGTTTCTTCCCGCTTTCTACCGCTCCATGGAGTCTTGGAAAATTTGAACAGATGTGATCCTCATTAAAGCTAAAACTAAGACTGTCTTCTAAGCTTCTGCGCATCAACGGGATTCGCAGCAGTCCAAGACAGGACTAAAGAAAATGATCGGTAATTTAACTCCGACCAAGTCTGGTGAGAGCCTAGAATCACAAGCCTCCAGTTCGGAATAAGGGGTCGACATGTACAAAGCATGAGTGACGCCAACGTAGATTCTCAATTCCTTCAAGCTTAAATACCTCGCAAACGAGACGACTGGTATCGAAAAACGATCGATTGAAGTACTTCACAGCATTTACGGCCTCCTCTTCTGTTCTGTAACCGACGAATCCAAATTGCCGACTCCGACCATCACTGCTCCAAACAACCATACACAAAGCTAAGAATCTCTCCATCTCAAATTTAAATTCCATCAACTTTCCATTTCATCCAGAAGAAACAACGAAATTGCACTAACACGCTAGATACTAGCAGCAAATGTAAGAAGCTCCAACAAAGCGGAAATACTGGAACGTCAACCACAAAACCTGACTAAAACCTTTCAGCTCGTTCGAATGAATGGAACGGATCCAAACCTTGTTCGTATGATTCTCGCATCCGTGACCTCTCCATTCTCAGCGAAGTGTTCCCTCAGCCTATCTTCATTCACGTGACGAGGGATGTTTTTTACGCAAATTCGAGTCGACCTGCACGCCAGATGTATGATTAACAAGGTAATCTGATAGCAAGAGTATGAAGGACAATTCAGCTCAGACCTGAAATTGACCAGCTCCCACCTTCAAAACGTCTGAACACAATCTAAGGAGAATTGAACTCGACTGAGTCTCCGGCACCCATGAAGCCCACTTCCAACCGACCCATCCCCCCACCGGCAAAAATGGACCCTCTAATCTCTAAAAGCATTTCCAGAAAACAAGTTGGGGATCGCCTTCAACAAGAGATACTCAGCAATGGGCGTACGACCAGGGCACTGGAGAAAAGACACGCACATGACTTAAGGCGGATTACTCGCAAGGAGCACAAACAGTACGATCATAACCATAATCGTCATCCGTCAGAACATCTGAGACAGGACATACACCAAATTTCTCGAAGGGGTCGACATGCTCTCCGAACTTCCTCCACTCCAATCACCCAATCAATCCACCAATCGATCCCCCCCTCGGTATTCTTCTTCTTCGTCTCGATTCTCCTCCCGTCGATACTCAATCCCTACGTTCGCTCCCACCTCCAAACCCTACACAAAACCTTCACCTTCTCCTGCTCGCTGAAGTCAGCGCTCGACCGCAGTGCGAGCAGCAGTGCACCACGACGAAGACGACGACGACGACGATGATCAGCGCTCACCACCAAACTCATGCGGCCGTCACAAAGCTTATGACAGTGCTGATGCTGCTGCGTCTTATTAGATTTTTTCAAATCTAAAAATCTAAAAATTTCTACATGATGCTATTAAGTTTCATATTTGAGTATTAATTTTTTGAATATTAAATTATCAAAATGCAGAAATATACCTGAAATTAAGATGTTATCACATCAATCATGCAAAATGTAGTAAACATTGATTAGACTTTGTACCACTTTGAAAAATATCATTAAACATGGTAAAATTTAATGAAAATGAAACAATTTTAATTTTATAATAAAATTTTATTTCAAAATTAATTATTAATTTTTGAATTTAATTATGTAAAATATTTAATTATTTATGAATAATAATCGGCCATTGAAATTTTTTTGGTTCAATTTATGTATATATAATGCTTTTCAAATTCGTATGTTCAATCACATATCAAGTTTTTCAATACATACACTGCATTACTTTTCTTTGAATCTCTCTATATTATCACTTCAAAATATTACTTCAACGTCAATAACTCTCATCTAACCTCTTTGTCTTTTTTACAAGATTTATTTTAAATCTCAACGTTAGATAAAAAATAAACCACTTGACCAATTTTAATTGAGATTTTCGCATCAAAGTTGTCTTGTACGAAGTAGATCTCAAGTTGATACTAAATAACCGAAAAGTCATCGCAACGGTATGTAATCACTACTCTTGTTGTTCCCCATCTAACGAATTACAACTTTTGCTCAACAACAACTTCTAGCTAAGTGAAACTTGTTAAGGTGCATAAAATTCAATAGTCAATTTTAAAAAATGTACTCACTTCAATACAAAATATAACTCTTACCATTGAGCCCCAATTCTCCAAATGACATGTACCACAACGAATTTCGGTGTTGCATCTCCTCTCTATGCACACATCTAGGTAGCTAGAGGTGACCCCACAGAAGTTTTGACAAATTCTACGTGACATGAAATTTACATAAAATAAATAACCACTACACTATAATATGAATTTAATTATTTGGAATATACTATAAAACAGTTTTGTGGTGTGCTCGATATGTCCGACTCAGTACCATCTCTTTACGAAAATATATAACTATAACCACAGTCAAGATCAAAGTCGACGTAGTTACGGGAGAATGAGTAAGCACTTCCCAACATTTAGATAAAGACTCTCGATACTTTCGGAACGTGTCCGCAGAAACTGCATGGTTGTCTGAGCGCAGTCAATAAATGTTCCTGACTGCGAACATCATCGACTCACCGGTTGTAGGCGGTTTTCGACCACCGGTCCCGGTTCACACTAACAATTCTCCGGTCCAAGTCGAATCCTATGCTCACTCCCGAGGGTTTGAAAAATCTTCGATCGCGCTCGCGGACCGGCGCTGTCTCGAAACGTGCAGTGTGCAGAAATCTTGCGTGCTTCCACGAGCTCGTCGAGTCCAGCGTCGGACTCGATTCTGAAGAAGGCACGCGAAGGAGCGGCGCAGCCCCATTTTCATGAACAGAAATCAGTAAGATGGTGAGCGGGCCAGTGGTGAACGTTTATCCTCTGTCGAGCTACACGTTCGGCAGCAAGGAGGCGAAAATGGAGAAGGATACGTCTGTAGCCGACCGGCTTGCGCGCATGAAGCAAAAGTAGGAAGTTATGTTTCTTGTTCAAATTTTTCAATGAAATACCTCAGAGCTCTGGCTTTACCAGTCTCTTTGTATCTTAATTGTAGAGGATGTGTCCCGTTGCAGTGGTTCGTCGGTTGTCACGACTTTGTTTCATACCGCATGTTTATTCATCAAGTCTTCGCCTCTCGGTGTCCTGCAGTTACATGAAGGAGGGAATGCGCACCAGTGTGGAAGGGATCCTCCTTGTGAGTAATTTGGTGCTCATTTTATGCACGTTATGTTTTAAAACGTGACCTAACATATTCCCTCGCTGTTTTCTGAGCTTTTACGCTCGAAACGAGTGCACCTTCACAGTGTCCAGACCTCTCTCTCTTGGCCCTTTGAAACTTTCAATGATATCTGAAATGTCGAAAAGGCTGAACACTTTCAAATTTTTGTTCTTTGCTCCACGTTTCAATGTAGATTGAAGAAGCCTTTTGACAGACGGTACATTTACAAGATTGACAGAATAATGGAAGTGACATCGAATTTGTTCCTCCTGCAGCTAGCATATAGCTAACCCCTTTCTTGCCCCTGAATTTCTGAGTTCTTGCTTAGTTTAAATATTCCCTTCTGAACCTAGCTCGGATTCGTTCAACGATGTCTTAGTGCTGTGAGCCCATACATTTGACTACCGTATTATCGTTATATACATTTAATTTTCAGCACTAGGTATTCATGCTGATCACTCCCCAATGTAATCAATATCAAAACTCGGACAGTTGTTCTATCTACATTTATGTAAAACAAGTGTCTGGAGCACATGAGGTCTATGCAAACTTTTAAAGTCAAGTCGAACTTAATAGTTCTTGCTCGTCTCACTTTCTTCGTTCACCTCCTTTTTACTACTGAATATAATAATTAACGGTTCGAGTTGAACGTGAGAATTTACGGCAAAACCTGTTGGTAATGAAATGTGTTGCAGGTACAGGAACACAATCATCCTCATGTGCTTCTTCTTCAAATAGGAAATACTTTTTTCAAGCTACCTGGAGGACGCCTCAAAACTGGTGAAAATGGTGCGTATATGCAAAAATGGGCTCTAACTCAATTTTCGCGGACTGATATTGACAAACCAACCTAGCCTTATGTGCGACTCTTGTAAAGCCTAGTTCTAGGCTTTACACCTTCCAGGTGTTTCCAAAGTCTAAAATCTGGTTCTGCAGAAATCGAGGGACTCAAGCGGAAGCTGACAAGCAAGCTAGCACCCACAGCCTCGTCTATACAACCAGACTGGCAGGTAGTACATTCTTTTTGTCGATAAATATAACTACTTGACCTTGAAAACAGTAGTGTGTAGATTTGCTTCCTCAAACCCGCTTTTAGCTTATTCTTTCTTTCAGGAAATTTATGGCAGACATCCGTCTCATCTTGTTCTTGTCATAGAAGTGGTGTAAATATGAATGTCACGTCAGGTTATATGAATGTACTCGTCCTGATTGTATGAAATGGACTATGCTTCGTGCAGATAGGTGAATGTGCTGGTGTATGGTGGCGGCCAAATTTTGAAACATTATTGTACCCATATTGTCCACCTCACATAACGAAACCGAAGGTTCGATCTTGAACCTATTGTTATATTTTTCATTATCCAGGGCTTCAGTGACCTCAATATTCCGTCAGTGCAGGATTCACAACGTAGAAAGTATTACATTTTTTTTGTACTGCATATTAAGCACCAAATCAATAGTTGTTGACTACGAGGCTCCAAATGAAATAGCTATTGCAGATCGCAATATTATGTCGAGTCAATAAATTGTTTGATCCGTGGTTCCTGTTTGTACTTTTCTGTGCTAGTTGTCTTAGTGTGAGTTATTTCGAGGTCTCACTTTTGTCGCATCTATCAATGCAGGAATGTAAGAAGCTGTTTGTTGTACCACTAGCAGAAAGGCAGTATTTTGCCGTTCCTAAAAACCTGAAGTTGCTAGCTGTCCCATTGTTCGAGCTTTACGACAACGTGCAGGTACTGCGGCATACCAAATTTAGACATCTTGCTGATACTTGTTAGACAGTAGTACGTCCCTTGAGTAAGTCAATTATACTTCCTACCCATGTTGTTTCGAACGTGGGTTTCACGCAATATACATGGAACTACAATTACTTGAAGCCTACAGTTTCTTGGTATTAGTGTCAATGTCTTTATACACCCGGTTATCGCGAGCTCCTTCACTTGCTGCGAATTGAACTGCGACAACTGCTTGACGGGCTGCTGCTTCTACTATGCTTTTAGCTTACATACTGCTCGTGATACTTTTTCCTCTACTGCGCTCTCTGTTTGCTATATACTACTCATTCCCTTTCCGGATAAGCTTTCATGGGCCTTCGCTCATGCTTTGTGCGTTTCAACGCATTACTCCGGCTCCTCACCAACTTGGATCGAAACCGTGCCCGAAAACCTCCGAGTCAACTTCAAGACTAGTATCCCGTATTCACAGAAGAGTATTGTGAAAGGAACTGATGAGACTCTCCAAGTAGTAGTTGCCTGTAGATGCACGCTCACTCTCTACTTCAAGACTAGTATCCCGTATTCACAAAAGAGTATTGTGAAAGGAACTGATGAGATTCTCCAAGTAGTGGTTGCCTGTAGATGCACGCTCACTCTCTACGTTGATCACTGCTTCTATATTTATACTCAGAATCGATAGGGTTTAAGCTTGCTCATCCTCTTGTGCGTACACTCAGTACTTGTTAATATTTCTCCTTTAGTCTGTTAGCTCTCTACTTCTTTTGTCTGATTCGCATTGTCACACTCAATTGCTGCTGTTATCCTTCATTCAACTTGCGTGGGCCTGGCCTGCATGAGATTTTCCTTAGAAACTGCAATATTGCAAACCTCACCTACGTACAGCTTAAACGTTTTCTTTCCGCTATCATCACGCCATTGGAAATTCCAGAAACACTTATTCAGAACCTTCGCATGTCCGCAGCCTTCGAGAATCTCTAAACAGTTGAATGTCGTAATCAAACCATGTTACTTGAATCCTTTATTCCTGGTGGTAACGATGGTGGGATTCAGCACGTTCCTTCGTTCTGTTCTTCAATTTCATACTTTGAGAAGGTAGTTTCTTGGTATCAACAAAGATAGATTAGTCTGCAATCACTAGTTTTTCTGGAACTACTGAGAATGTCTAGAATCCCCTTGGATAACTGAACTTTTCACCTCGTTCGCGTAAAGTTTCAGTCCATCGTGTTAAACGTCATCAATACCATTTCGTCATTTACTCAGCTTTAGCTGTTCATTCCATGTGGCTCATTAGACAGTAATTCTGACCTGTCAGGTCAAAATTTAATTTTCTAGGTTGTTTAAGTCGTCATACTAGATAACCGCTCATCTTCTATCATAACCATAGCCTCTGGGTATCAGAATCGATATATTCAAGCGTGCAGTTTCTTTCCTGCGTACTTCAGCGGTATCTGTTAAAGATTTCTCTCCAAGTCTTTTAAGTTCTTAACTCCGTTATCCTCTTCTTCCGTTTCCCTTTATTTAACCTGTGTGGGACCGGCCTACACGGCATTTTCTTCATTCAAGTGGTTTACACTTTGTTCGCTTCAAATGTTATAATTGTTTCGGAAATTTGCAGGTCAAACTAGAGCTTCAGTGTGTACTAGTTACAGTTACCGCAGCTCGTATTATTTGTAGTCGATCGTGCAACAGAAATATGCATTAATCGGCTTCTCTTTCCTTGAATTTTGATCTCCAACGTTGGAGCATATGGACGTCGAGCCGTTTCTCCTGTCCTTGATCGACCCGGGTTTTTCACGATAGAATCTTAGGAGTCGCGACGTAATTTATGCTAGAATCCTATTTTTTAGCTTCCAGTTGTCTGTTCAAAAACCTTTTACCACTTCATCCGTCCCCTTTACGGTCTCGAAGTTGTTAAATCTAAAGAGCTGGCTATTTCGAGTCTGTCTGTACATTACGAGTCTCTTTCCGGTTCACTAATTCAGTGACTTCAGATGCCAAAGGTGCTGCATGAACCAGATCATTAGAGTTGTTCTATCCCATATTTTTACAGTTCGCAAGTTGCATAATTCTTAGCCATCTTGCACTTCGTGTGATCAAGAGGACTTTACTTGACAATGTGCATTGGCACGTAGGCCCCTGAATATATGGCCTGAAGACTCCGGGTTCAGGTTATGTACGTCGTACATACCTGCCCGTTTTCTCCGTGCTCGGTCCTCTCCCGGAGAGCCAAGTTATCGGTTCAAAGTGTGAAGTTTTTGAAGGTAGATAGATACACGGTATTCTGCGGCTTAAAACCTACCCACTCGACCAAGGCTTAACTGGTGTCCCTTGCTGTTTTGCGACTTTATATAGCATTTATATAAACTGGGGCTATCGATGAGCTGGGTGCAGCCTTCTTCTCCTCTTGTTGGGAAGTAGCTTAGCTTTACGAAGTACTAGAGATGTACTCCGAATTGGGATATAACCCTTACCCAGGCTGTTGATGCTGGTGCTGCAAAACGTTTTAAGCTGTACCTTCCTAACCCAGATCATTGAATGGTGGTGGCATTTCTCACCATATTTTACTGTGGGAATCGCCTTGTGAAGTACACCTAATCGTCCGGTTGCTAGTTGTGCTAGGTCCGCGGAGGAAATATACTGTATGGAATTTCTGCAATTTTTGAGCTTCAGGTCTGAACTTAGTACTCAATTTTTCTTGCAGAGATATGGACCAGTGATATCTGCAATACCTCAACAACTCTCAAGGTTCAACTTCAACGCGATCAACAACTAAGACCTTCATATTGCCTTGTGATAGCAGTAGAGTGCTACTGGATGTGATCGACAAACTTGACTTTCTCTGGATTCTTCTGTCAACTTTGGCGCGAGGTTCTCACGATTGAGAATACAAGTATTTGTTTCAATGTACGGATGATAGTCGTTGCACATAGGTTCGAAATACAAACTTCCAAGCCGACTTATATCAATGTTTGGTGGTTACTTCCGATTACCATATATTTCTCCTGGTATTGGAGAAATATTTCTGTATCCACTTTTTTTCTATCAATGTACACGTGGAAGTTTGCTCAACGATGTGTTCAGAGTTTATTTTTCACCTCTCGGTCTCTTTTGGGTGATATATATGGATGCGCGATTTCTCTGTCCGGATATTGATCAAATTTAAGTTGCATGCGAGTCACTACGCAACCCTTCTCAGGTTATATTTGTTTGTTGGTATGTGAAGCTTTTGTGTGCTGAATTTGGAGATGAAAGTTCATTATACTAGACTGTGTCTTGTCATGACTGTTACCCTGAATGCCGAAGGCATTGCTGGAGACCTGGCGTGCTTAAAGTCTTCTCTCAACTATCTCTTCTCAGGCTACCCCTCTGATCTGATTGGAAATAATTAGTAATCTTATCAAAAAAATTTACTAATATAAAAATATTAGCAATTCCTGAAATGTTTTTATTTCAAAAATACTGTTGATCACATATGGTGACTGGAACAGAGAAAAGATGGTGACAGTTTTGTTGATATCGTCATCATAAATGTTATCCTTGACTTTTTCTCAAATTACTGTTCATAACCGAAGTCACGTACTGGTGAAGTTTCGCCAGTTTGGAGCTTCACTACAACTTTGCAGGAACTGTGTGATATGTGGAATATTGTAAAAGTGAGTATTTCAGGACCAAGATTTGGTTGAGCATGTTTTGGAATGCGTGTACATTCGACTAGAGTTGCAACTAGCGATTAAGAGAAATAGGCAGGAATGATTGGGGAGCGAAGTCATTACTGTGTTACAGACAACACATCAGAGCTTTGCCAAGTGCCCTAACAAGTCGAATCTCCTACAGCCACGAAAAACTTACCTTACTTCGCTCCTCTGCCTGAGACTGAATATTGCATGACATCAGTCACAGTAAGTCCAGACAAGCAAGGATGTTTTATTTCTCATGATTTGGAAATATCTACAATTTAATTTTGTTTTCAATTTACTGTAGAGAAATCAAAAATCTGATCGCCTAATTGACTGTCAAGTAGTCTTTCATATTGTCACACAAAAGTTGTATCCTAATTAATCTGAAAACAAAAAAAAACTACCGAATACGCACTTTCAAAGAATGGAATTGAATGTATAGATAAAAATGTACAGATGCAACTGGATTTATCTCGTAAAATTATTAATAGACAGACAAATTCAAACCTTTCAATATTCCATAATTTATATGTTGTTGTTTGATCTTGATGTTTCCATAGGATAAACTTTTACATGATTTGTAGTGTTACTAATTAGAAGAGCAAATGTATATACATTAGTTCATACTCAAAAAGTTTTCAATCAGACCTTCAACCACACAGGTATACAGTTATATTATGATAATATGTTGCACGTCAATGACATGAAAAATTATTGCACATGAATTTTGTGCTAAGGAATACACCTTGTAATCAGTAAAATATGCTTTTACCAACAAAATATATCAATATTATTTATATATAGGAATACATGTTTAATACAGAAGCGGAAACCAGTATCATGACTGCAACAAGAGCAAAGAGTTTGTATTATTAGAATTCAAGTTGAGACAATATCAAATCAACCTATAACAAAATAAACTATATCAGGATAAATGTTCATCTCTTTAACTTTTGAAGATGATATAAAAATGAATCGATGATATGATGAAAAATAAAAAATATGATATAAAATTTTAAATGATTCCTTTCAACTGTTCAATATCGTCATATGTCTCAAATTTCTGAATTTATTCATGTTAAAAAGCAAATTTTTGAAATAGCATTTAAAAAAAGTGTGCATTCACATTTTGATACAAATAAGATGACACATAGAATATATTTATTTATGAGCAAGAAAATTTAAGATTTTCTTAACAATACTGTAACAAGAAAAAAAAATTTCTGAATAATATTTCATCTCACATACATAAGTATTAAAAAAATGCATGATATTTATTTTATGTGTTTTCAACTATGTACCAATTAAATTGGTATTGCATATATAATTCGAAGTTAAATATGGAAATTTTTGAAAAGTATCCAAAAAAAATTCATATATGTGTCACATAATTGAAAGTATATAGTAATAAAATATTTTCATGAATAGAAAAAATGATTTTAATAAAAAATTTATTTGAAAATAAAATATCATGCATTTCTTCTATTTTGAGATTTTGTACAATTTTTGCTTCAAATGTTAGATTTCTTCTAAGTGATGACTAATATATAAAATATATTATTTTATTAAGAATAAAAAATTATATTGAAAATATAAATATAAGAACATGAAATAGAAAATAATGTGATGTTGTATATTCTATATGTAATGAAATATTTTATTTTAGTAAAAATAATGATTATTAACATTTATACTTAGATCATATTTTGATACTTAAGAGAAGAACAAAAAATTCAAAAAATTTTATGCTTCAAAATATATAATTTTCATAATATTGATCATTTTTAATATGAAATAAGATTTTTTTATTCTTTTTATGTTTATTGGTACTGTAAACACTTTATACATATCAAATTTCAGTTGTACATGCTGTGTACTTCTTGATTGAATTTGTATGTCAATATACATATAAAATAAGTTTTCATCTTCTTATAAATACTACTTTATGCAAGTTGTTCATGACTACATGAGATTGCTAAAAAAATATTTGTGCAATGTTTGTATCATTTGGATATATAATTCATTTTGATTGATAAAAATGCCAAAATACAGATACATATCAATGTATTTCATCACATGCATAATATCACAGATCAACACATGGGATAGAATTAAAAAAAAAATTGCGTTGAATATAAAAAAATATACCAGATATGATTCTTTGTATCGATGTTTCATATTTTGAATAGTATCTTGATTTAACGTAATTATGGATTTTTACGAACATTGATACTCTATTTAGACTCATTTCACTTAAACTTGAATCCATGTTATTAATCTACTTACTTTCAAAAATCTTGGTTAAAATAATTCAAATCCTTGTTTATTTATCATGATCATGAAATAGATATGTCAGGATTTTTAAAAAATATGATTGAAATCTTTAATACTTAAAAAGAAAATATGTGTACAATTTTATTTATTTTTTATGAAAAAATTACATCTTAATATTCATAAATTTCTTTCTTTTTAGAATACTGATTTAGATGTCTTAATATTTTTCTGATAAAATTAACTAACAAAATTAATTTTGTATATGAAGTTTGACAAGTATGTTTGTTGTAAATAGTGGAGTTGCATTGTTTTCATTTCCTTAATATTATTGAACATAATGCAACTATTTTATTTATTCAATATGCATGATTTGCAACACATAACTTTCACGCATTATTCCGTCTTACACAAGCTATTCCTTTTAAAAAACAAATTCAAGCTCACACATTATCATGAATTATTTAGTCATTGATATGAAAATTACTGCTAATTGAGATGTTAATATCCACAGAAAATCATACTTTTTGTTTGTATGCATTCAAATGACATCAAGACTCTCATTTGCCTAATGATGATCTTATATAATATGCATTATTCTATTCGGAAGACCTTTAAAGCTGATATCAAAATTAAATTACGTTCATCTGAAATTAATTTATTTCATTCATTTTTTTATCTCATTTTTTTCTATGAAAATACTTCTATATTTCGAATAGTTCATTATGATTCCTTTGTACCAAAACTAGTCAAAGGACAAAAAGAAATAAGTTGTTGTGGTAATTCTGTGGAGAATAATCTAGTACGTGGTTTGAACACTTGTAAATTATCAGTTCTTTCATAGTGATAATTCTTTTCTTCGGGCCATTATAAGTACTTTCAAAACTTCCAACCAATACCAAAAAATCTCAATCAATGTGTTTAAGACTATAAGGTTTGGCACAAAAAATCTCTAACCTCAACCAAAAGGTGGAATTAAGCGATCAGCACAATCAAGAGATAACCTTTTTTAGTTGGAATAATGAGTTCCTTCAACGAACAAGGATTGTATTATGGTTTTTCAAGATACTCCTTCCGAAGCTTTCATGGTAAGGGAGATTATCAAGTTATTCCATCCAAGTGGAAAAGAAGTGAGAAGAAGAAGTTTTCAGGATTAAAAACCAGTCCGTGATACTTGTGTAATCTTCTTCTTTCCATGTAGTGTATGATGCTATTATTTCTACTACCTCTACTTGGATCTCTTTGTTTGTAACACAAATTGTTATCCTGATCATAGCCAAGATTGGTACAAACTCCAAAATTAGCCGTTTCCTTGGGCATGCTTTCACTACATTGGATTCGAGTTTATGTCTCACATGAAGCGGACTGCATCGTTTTCGTTTTCCTCATGTTTTTTCCTGAAGGCTTGCTAATTTGCTGTGGAATCTGTCTCACCTCGACATAGTCGTAGATTTTAGCATCTGAGGAGTAATTTAGGTGTATGGTTCTTCTCGCCCATGATAAACTCCTCAAAAAACTGCCACTTTCGCCAAGTCTGTCACTGATTCTGATAGTTCTCATTGTGTTACAGTGACTCCGTTGACTCCCTCCTGAATACTTTCAGAGTTCCTTTCGAAGTGTTAGATTTAAAATGGACGTGTATGATGGTTGTTTCTGCTGTGGCAATAACTTGGAAAATGTGTGGGAAGGGGTTTGCCTTTTGGCCCATTGGTTCTGTCGATTCTCATCCTATTTCTTTCTTTTGGCTTGGGCGTTGCTTGCATGGTGGGCCAGATTCGTGCAGACGAAGATTTCGGCCCATGCTTCGTGTGGGTTTGCCACAAGCTTTCGATTTGCCCATGTCAGTCACCGTACACGATTTGCTTGTCGTGTTAGAAAGCGGTGGCCTCCCATGTGATTGACATATCTCCAAGCTTTGAGCAAGATTTTTTCACACCTGAAGTCAATGCCCGTTTTAAGCCCTTTCAGAATGTGCTGAAGAGGTTTTCCTGGTGTGACATGCTCGCACTTGCAGGGCTCATCTGGCTGTGGTGTCTTTCTTCCCCAGTGACTAATTCGTACTGTCACTCAGCTGCCATGGCTCCGACTTTTCCCTTATTGCTCACTATCCCCTTTAATA